CTGCTTCGCTGCCGGCGGGCCCTCCACGTCCTTCTCCTCTTCCTCCTTCTTTTCCACCACGCGCTCCACCCGCGCGTCGTGCGACGGCGAGGCAGGGATCAGCGGAGACAAGAACGAGTGGGAGGAAGAGGAGGCAGAGGCGGATGAGATTAAGGTTTGGTTGAGAGCGAGCGTCTGTTGTTCCTTGAGCTGCAAGTCACGGTAGCATTTGGAACACAAGTTCTGCGTCGTTGGGCTTCCAAAGAAGCCGCAGTTGTTGACGCATAGTTGTGGAGCCTGGCACCGATGTTCTTCCGCCATCTCGATTTCGATTTCGATTTCTGCAACCACAGGAAAAAGAAAAACTATTTAATTTTCTAGGGAAAAATATCCGATCCCGGTCAACTTTTCCCGTGAACCAAACAGATCCTTGCCTATTCAAACAGAAGAGAAACAAATCAATTAAACAATAACCTGTATGGAGGATTTGATTTCGTTAATGCTCTGCGAAAGAGAATTAAGAAGGCAAATTCAAAATCCGAATGTTCGTTGACGATTCTTGGGGGAGAACTAGAGAATCTGGAAGGGTGAATAAATATATTGGGGGGGAGAGAGGAAACCCAAACGAACCAGGAAAGAAGAGAAAAAGGTAATCAGGCGGTCCCTTGGGATTGGGATTCCTGGTCCTCAAAGGAAAGAAAATTCCAGAGAGCTTCTTTCTCTCTTCTCTCTCCTTTCTTTTTTTTTTTGTTTTTTCTTTTTCTTTCTAATTTTCTTTCCTACCAAACGCTGGTTTATCTCTTGAATCTGCCTGGCGGTTTCTTATTAATGCGCGTAAAATAGACAAAAGGGGGTTTTATTAAAGGCCATTCAAAAAATTTCAAATCAGTAATTAAATATCTATTATCTTCTGGAAGTCGTTTAAGCCACGCCAGGGGGTTTTTATTTTTTAATCGCCAACGCCATTTTGGACCAGCCCCGGTCCACAGGGCCAATATAAGCCGCTTATATCGTTTTCTTGTGGGGTCTGGTACGTGTCGGAGTGGGTCCCGTTCTGATTTTGACTATGCGGGTCCCAATTGGTTATTGTTAAAATGACACGAGTAGATGTGTGAAACGGATCCGGTCGACTTTATGATGTGATTACTAATCATGAATTGGAATTCACATCAGCAATTGAATTCCACTTATGGAGGATTCCTGCATTTACTTCATATCAAGGAACTAAAAAGTAAGTGGGGTTCATACAAAATTAGGAATTGAATTTCTGATTTTGTAGGAATTCAATTTTTGAATGATAGGTGGTATTTTAAGGCCCCATTTGGGATTTTTTTTTTCCCGCCAAAAACCTGTTTCACTTTAAAGTTAAACAGTTTAATGTATTTGGTAAAAATAAAATATCTCGATTATTTTAAAAATAGTGGCCTTTTGACAGCAACTTTTAGAAGCAGACTCTAGGTTGCTTTTCAAAGCTGTTTTCAAAAGAATCAAAGATGAGCCTTTAATGAATTTTTTTAATTCCTAAAATACCTCATTTATTTTTAAAAATGACATCACCTACACCTTCACATCCAACTTTGCCACTTTCACCACCACCGCCACCACCACCTCCTCCTTCGCCTTCACCACCACCTCCACATTGCACCTCCTTCTCCTTCTCAACCTTCACCATCTCCACCACCTCCACCTTCACAACTGCCATCCCCACCACCACCACCACCTCCACCTTTTTCACCACCACCTTCATCTCCATCTCCTTCACCACCACCTCTACCACCACCACTACCACCACATGACTAGCACATAACACTTTAAATGTCATGTCTATTTTAGTCATTATTCATAGTTACAATAGTGTCATATTAAAATTTACCAAATGAATTTGACACTACTTTTTGTATTAACAACATTTTAAAAATATTATTTACCAAATATGGAGCTAATTTACTTGACAGCTAATTATTTTCAAAGCACAACATAAGCAACTTTTTAAAAAAGTAACAGCAATCCCAAACTAGCACTAATTCCTGGAGAGCTAACTCATTAGGAATTCATCTTTTTTGCCCTTTATATCCTCACACAATTTTAACAATTCCAAATTGACCATCTATTTTAACCCAACAACGAGGACATTTTAGTACCCTAATTCCATATGGTTTAGTAAACAACTTCAATGGGAATCCGGAATCTTACTCTCCTCAATCCATAAGATTTAGTAAACAACTTCAATGAGAATCCGGAATCTTAAACAACTTCAATGGGAATCCGGAATCTAACTCTTCTCAATCCACATCATTTAGTAAACAACTTCAATAGGAATTCGAAATCTAATTCTTCTCAATCCAACTCCTCCTCAATTCACTTCATCATCAATTCAATTCCTCCTAATCTAATTACGGATTAATAAACGTGCCATTAATGCATCCAGCACACAAGTTATAGCATTACTCTAGAACCATGACCTACCTTCGAGAAAGATCCCAAATTGTTTTTCATGGCACAGAGAACTCACTCTACCAAACTCCATAAACAATTTTTATGCAAAGCAATCAGAACTCAATTATAGCTGCATCAGTTAGCATTTGAAAACCAAGGTTGTGAATAGTCTTCCTCCTTATTTGTTCACAAACATTTCCTCCAAATAAGATAAAATGACATCTCTCTAACAGGAAATTTCAGAACAAGGTGGCCCAAATGGAAAATTTCAGAACATTAACTATGAGATTAAGTGAAAGGCAGGGATCAGCGGAGACAAGAACGAGTGGGAGGAAGAGGAGGCAGAGGCGGATGAGATTAAGGTTTGGTTGAGAGCGAGCGTCTGTTGTTCCTTGAGCTGCAAGTCACGGTAGCATTTGGAACACAAGTTCTGCGTCGTTGGGCTTCCAAAGAAGCCGCAGTTGTTGACGCATAGTTGTGGAGCCTGGCACCGATGTTCTTCCGCCATCTCGATTTCGATTTCGATTTCTGCAACCACAGGAAAAAGAAAAACTATTTAATTTTCTAGGGAAAAATATCCGATCCCGGTCAACTTTTCCCGTGAACCAAACAGATCCTTGCCTATTCAAACAGAAGAGAAACAAATCAATTAAACAATAACCTGTATGGAGGATTTGATTTCGTTAATGCTCTGCGAAAGAGAATTAAGAAGGCAAATTCAAAATCCGAATGTTCGTTGACGATTCTTGGGGGAGAACTAGAGAATCTGGAAGGGTGAATAAATATATTGGGGGGGAGAGAGGAAACCCAAACGAACCAGGAAAGAAGAGAAAAAGGTAATCAGGCGGTCCCTTGGGATTGGGATTCCTGGTCCTCAAAGGAAAGAAAATTCCAGAGAGCTTCTTTCTCTCTTCTCTCTCCTTTCTTTTTTTTTTTGTTTTTTCTTTTTCTTTCTAATTTTCTTTCCTACCAAACGCTGGTTTATCTCTTGAATCTGCCTGGCGGTTTCTTATTAATGCGCGTAAAATAGACAAAAGGGGGTTTTATTAAAGGCCATTCAAAAAATTTCAAATCAGTAATTAAATATCTATTATCTTCTGGAAGTCGTTTAAGCCACGCCAGGGGGTTTTTATTTTTTAATCGCCAACGCCATTTTGGACCAGCCCCGGTCCACAGGGCCAATATAAGCCGCTTATATCGTTTTCTTGTGGGGTCTGGTACGTGTCGGAGTGGGTCCCGTTCTGATTTTGACTATGCGGGTCCCAATTGGTTATTGTTAAAATGACACAAGTAGATGTGTGAAACGAACCCGGTCGACTTTATGTTGTGATTACTAATCATGAATTGGAATTCTCATCAGCAATTGAATTCCACTTATGGAGTATTCCTGCATTTATTTCATATCAAGGAACTAAAAAGTAAGTGGGGTTCATACAAAATTAGGAATTGAATTTCTGATTTTGTAGGAATTCAATTTTTGAATGATAGGTGGTATTTTAAGGCCCCATTTGGGATTTTTTTTTTTTTTTTTTCCAGCCAAAATCGCCTTCACCACCACCTCCACATTGCACCTCCTTCTCCTTCTCAACCTTCACCATCTCCACCACCTCCACCTTCACAACTGCCATCCCCACCACCACCACCACCTCCACCTTTTTCACCACCACCTTCATCTCCATCTCCTTCACCACCACCTCTACCACCACCACTACCACCACATGACTAGCACATAACACTTTAAATGTCATGTCTATTTTAGTCATTATTCATAGTTACAATAGTGTCATATTAAAATTTACCAAATGAATTTGACACTACTTTTTGTATTAACAACATTTTAAAAATATTATTTACCAAATATGGAGCTGATTTACTTGACAACTAATTATTTTCAAAGCACAACATAAGCAACTTTTTAAAAAAGTAATAGCAATCCCAAACTAGCACTAATTCCTGGAGAGCTAACTCATTAGGAATTCATTTTTTTTACCCTTTATATCCTCACACAATTTTAACAATTCCAAATTTACCATCTATTTTAACCCAACAACGAGGACATTTTAGTACCCTAATTCCATATGGTTTAGTAAACAACTTCAATGGGAATCCGGAATCTTACTCTCCTCAATCCATAAGATTTAGTAAACAACTTCAATGAGAATCCGGAATCTTAAACAACTTCAATGGGAATCCGGAATCTAACTCTTCTCAATCCACATCATTTAGTAAACAACTTCAATAGGAATTCGAAATCTAATTCTTCTCAATCCAACTCCTCCTCAATTCACTTCATCATCAATTCAATTCCTCCTAATCTAATTACGGATTAATAAACGTGCCATTAATGCATCCAGCACACAAGTTATAGCATTACTCTAGAACCATGACCTACCTTCGAGAAAGATCCCAAATTGTTTTTCATGGCACAGAGAACTCACTCTACCAAACTCCATAAACAATTTTTATGCAAAGCAATCAGAACTCAATTATAGCTGCATCAGTTAGCATTTGAAAACCAAGGTTGTGAATAGTCTTCCTCCTTATTTGTTCACAAACATTTCCTCCAAATAAGATAAAATGACATCTCTCTAACAGGAAATTTCAGAACAAGGTGGCCCAAATGGAAAATTTCAGAACATTAACTATGAGATTAAGTGAAAAAGTAACAAGTACCAAAATTCACAGTGAAGACTGCAAGCTAACTTTTGAAGTACATAAACGTTCCTAGCTTTCGAAAGCAGCTCTTCAGCACCTACTTATTGGAAAACTAAGGTACTTTTGGTCAGAGCAATTGAATGCAACCTCAACTCAAAGATTACTTGATGCATGGAGCTATGCAACACCTACGATGTATGCATTCCAAGAGTCTTGTTGCTGAAAATGTTTAATCTCTTCATACTTTATGTCACGCCCGACACCAAAACCCTCTGTTTTTCTGATATCTCTGCTGTCTTGCATCTTCCGCAGCCAAAAATGAACAGACTGAAATCCTGCCTCTTCTAAGCAGTCTTTAATCTCAGGCAGTGACCACCTGGGCATATGAAACAATTGCCTCTAAACGATTCAGAATTCACCAGGAATACAAGATCTAATAAATATTCATCATGAAGCCTACACTCGATATTCCTTTATGACATCGATATAGAAGACCAGTAACTAGAAAAACAAAACAACTTACAGCCTCCAACTGTATGAAAACGCATGTCGAATTTTCTTCTGCTGCTTTTGGAGATGGAAATGGAGGCTAATCCTTGTCTTGCGCTCAATGATATCAAACTCAGCTTGCTCCCAAACGTACTGCACAAGCCAATAGCAATTTAAATAATTATCATAGACATCTTTGCAAGTAAAGAATATTTAGCCATAGGACTTGATCTACTCTCCATCATAGAGGTGAGACCACATAAACTATTAGATAGTCCCTAAATGTTCTTTAGCAAACTTAATGGTAATATGCTAAAAATTTACCCCAAAAGTAGATGTGTGAAACGAACCCGGTCGACTTTATGTTGTGATTACTAATCATGAATTGGAATTCTCATCAGCAATTGAATTCCACTTATGGAGTATTCCTGCATTTATTTCATATCAAGGAACTAAAAAGTAAGTGGGGTTCATACAAAATTAGGAATTGAATTTCTGATTTTGTAGGAATTCAATTTTTAAAATAGTAATCTGCTAAATAGAAAACATACACTTCTGCTTCTTATGAAATATTGTAGCTTATTGCTTCTTCATTTTGTAACAGATAATTCACCAGCCATGAAGGGGAGGAAGATTTAAAAAACAAATAAAACTTGGGGCTCCACGGCAGGGTTGCTTGTGAAGCGAAAAGGAAATTGGCAGGAAGAGAAGTGACAGAAACGATCCCAGGGGTAGAGTTTGGAGGGCTAGTAGTGTAAATCCTATTGAATATAACATCATGCCTATAAAATATCTCGATTATTTTAAAAATAGTGGCCTTTTGACAGCAACTTTTAGAAGCAGACTCTAGGTTGCTTTTCAAAGCTGTTTTCAAAAGAATCAAAGATGAGCCTTTAATGAATTTTTTTAATTCCTAAAATACCTCATTTATTTTTAAAAATGACATCACCTACACCTTCACATCCAACTTTGCCACTTTCACCACCACCGCCACCACCACCTCCTCCTTCGCCTTCACGTATTATACATATATGTATATATATATGTATGCTTCCCTGTGTAAATTTTTTGTAAGTTTTCTTTTTCCTTATCAATTGATCGGCACGCACTCATTCATCTCTTATGGTTTACCTCTCTGGTTTTGGGACCCTAAAGTAATCAACAATCTCGAGAATGAGAAATACCAAAAAATTGTATTATACATATATGTATATATATGTATGCTTCCCTGTGTAAATTTTTTGTAAGTTTTCTTTTTCCTTATCAATTGATCGGCACGCACCCATTCATCTCTTATGGTTTACCTCTCTGGTTTTGGGACCCTAAAGTAATCAACAATCTCGAGAATGAGAAATACCAAAAAATAACAAAAAAGCACAAAAACCCCGCACCAATCCATCTGGTTGACAAAACTTCACAACATTTTGCTTTGCCTATCCATTGATATCTATTGGTCGATCAATTTGTGATGCATCCAGAACTTAAAAAAGTTCAGGCATCTGGCACAGAGGATCCCAATATCTATATATGTATACGTGTATATATAGCTTATTTTTCCATATGTTTCATATTGCTTTCCTTTTCTTTCCTCTTCCACACCCACACTAAGTTTTTAATGGAGTACAAATGATGCTACAAAAGTAAAGAATATTGAAAATAACTTCATAAGCAACTTTTTAAAAAAGTAATAGCAATCCCAAACTAGCACTAATTCCTGGAGAGCTAACTCATTAGGAATTCATTTTTTTTACCCTTTATATCCTCACACAATTTTAACAATTCCAAATTTACCATCTATTTTAACCCAACAACGAGGACATTTTAGTACCCTAATTCCATATGGTTTAGTAAACAACTTCAATGGGAATCCGGAATCTAACTCTTCTCAATCCACATGATTTAGTAAACAACTTCAATAGGAATTCGAAATCTAATTCTTCTCAATCCAACTCCTCCTCAATTCACTTTATCATCAATTCAATTCCTCCTAATCTAATTACGGATTAATAAACGTGCCATTAATGAATCCAGCACACAAGTTATAGCATTACTCTAGAACCATGACCTACCTTCGAGAAAGATCCCAAATTGTTTTTCATGGCACAGAGAACTCACTCTACCAAACTCCATAAACAATTTTTATGCAAAGCAATCAGAACTCAATTATAGCTGCATCAGTTAGCATTTGAAAACCAAGGTTGTGAATAGTCTTCCTCCTTATTTGTTCACAAACATTTCCTCCAAATAAGATAAAATGACATCTCTCTAACAGGAAATTTCAGAACAAGGTGGCCCAAATGGAAAATTTCAGAACATTAACTATGAGATTAAGTGAAAAAGTAACAAGTACCAAAATTCACAGTGAAGACTGCAAGCTAACTTTTGAAGTACATAAACGTTCCTAGCTTTCGAAAGCAGCTCTTCAGCACCTACTTATTGGAAAACTAAGGTACTTTTGGTCAGAGCAATTGAATGCAACCTCAACTCAAAGATTACTTGATGCATGGAGCTATGCAACACCTACGATGTATGCATTCCAAGAGTCTTGTTGCTGAAAATGTTTAATCTCTTCATACTTTATGTCACGCCCGACACCAAAACCCTCTGTTTTTCTGATATCTCTGCTGTCTTGCATCTTCCGCAGCCAAAAATGAACAGACTGAAATCCTGCCTCTTCTAAGCAGTCTTTAATCTCAGGCAGTGACCACCTGGGCATATGAAACAATTGCCTCTAAACGATTCAGAATTCACCAGGAATACAAGATCTAATAAATATTCATCATGAAGCCTACACTCGATATTCCTTTACGACATCGATATAGAAGACCAGTAACTAGAAAAACAAAACAACTTACAGCCTCCAACTGTATGAAAACGCATGTCGAATTTTCTTCTGCTGCTTTTGGAGATGGAAATGGAGGCTAATCCTTGTCTTGCGCTCAATGATATCAAACTCAGCTTGCTCCCAAACGTACTGCACAAGCCAATAGCAATTTAAATAATTATCATAGACATCTTTGCAAGTAAAGAATATTTAGCCATAGGACTTGATCTACTCTCCATCATAGAGGTGAGACCACATAAACTATTAGATAGTCCCTAAATGTTCTTTAGCAAACTTAATGGTAATATGCTAAAAATTTACCCCAAAAATAGTAATCTGCTAAATAGAAAACATACACTTCTGCTTCTTATGAAATATTGTAGCTTATTGCTTCTTCATTTTGTAACAGATAATTCACCAGCCATGAAGGGGAGGAAGATTTAAAAAACAAATAAAACTTGGGGCTCCACGGCAGGGTTGCTTGTGAAGCGAAAAGGAAATTGGCAGGAAGAGAAGTGACAGAAACGATCCCAGGGGTAGAGTTTGGAGGGCTAGTAGTGTAAATCCTATTGAATATAACATCATGCCTATTTTTAATAATAATCTGCATTTATTTATCTAGATACTCAAGTGGAAACCAAAAGCAGTTTAAAATTTTCTGTACACTTGTATTATACATATATGTATATATATGTATGCTTCCCTGTGTAAATTTTTTGTAAGTTTTCTTTTTCCTTATCAATTGATCGGCACGCACCCATTCATCTCTTATGGTTTACCTCTCTGGTTTTGGGACCCTAAAGTAATCAACAATCTCGAGAATGAGAAATACCAAAAAATTAACAAAAAGCACAAAAACCCCGCACCAATCCATCTGGTTGACAAAACTTCACAACATTTTGCTTTGCCTATCCATTGATATCTATTGGTCGATCAATTTGTGATGCATCCAGAACTTAAAAAAGTTCAGGCATCTGGCACAGAGGATCCCAATATCTATATATGTATACGTGTATATATAGCTTATTTTTCCATATGTTTCATATTGCTTTCCTTTTCTTTCCTCTTCCACACCCACACTAAGTTTTTAATGGAGTACAAATGATGCTACAAAAGTAAAGAATATTGAAAATAACTTTTGTACCGTAAAATTGGAAAATCTCCTCTGAAGCCTTAGCTTGCACTCTGAGGATGTACCACCATATAAATCCATTACAAATATTCCACCTTTCTTCGACAAGGCATCAAGAGCATGCTTGAAATACAGAACCAGTTCAGAACGTTGATGGAGACAACAACAGCTGTAGTTAAACGCACACACAATGTCTCTAGCAGGCAACAGATGGTTCCTCAAGTATTTCTCATCATTTGAGGAAGAAGAGCCATCAGCAAGAGTAGATTCCACTTCATCACTCTCCAAATTATCTTTGTTCTCAGTGAGTGACACCTTTCTTAGCATCTCTTGGGGCTCGAATTTAACTAGTTTGGCCTCAAGAGGTTGCAAGACATTCCCATGAAAGAGGGACATTCTGGAATATCCATCAGCCCCAATTTTATTTATGTTGTTCTCCATGCACCAATTTAGTGCTTCAACATCCAAATCCAACCCTACAGCAGTCCTTCTTGTGTCAGTCCGGAGCCATTCTGCACTGTCAAACATAGAGTTAGTGTTAGGTCTTTAGAATGTGTTTGGACTATGACTGAGAACTTAATGAGTTTTAGATTATGAAATGGGCAATTTGCAGCTCGACATAGCGGCAATGGATACCTTAACTATAACTCAAAAAGAAGTCTAGCAACAAACCACCACACTAGAAAGAAACAAGAACAGGTACATGTATATGAACCCTGACAATGTAAAGAATGCCAACCAGGTTGTGCAACCACCATCTCTTCTTATAACTAATCTGCATTACCTCATTAGCACTAAATCTCCATAACCCATAAGACAATTTCCAGAAACATAGGCTTAGACAGAGCTAGAGTCTATAAATTGGGGGGTTCAATAGCTGAAAAGTTTATGAACTTATACACAGATTTTAGGTTTTATATAAAACTTCAAAGGAGTTTCTGGGATTTGGGGGCCACAGCCAAGCCTACTTCATCTTCTTCTGATATGGCAACTAACCGCTTATAATATTACTGGCCGTGATGTTTAAATAAAGAAACAATCTTTATGAAAGCCTACTTAATTCCTCAACAAAGGGCACCAAAATGGCAACAATATAGCTTCTAGTTAGGTACAAATGTTCCCTAAATAGTTCTTAACCTCCGTTCAGATATGTCAATTAAAAGGATAGTGATGTACCTAAGAAGGGCTGTGCCACAGAAATCTTCTTGGAGGTGGAGAGGTAACCTCCCACCCACATACATCAAAAAGAACTTCAGCAGATAGCTTATGTCTCCTTTTGGTGACTGCATACGAAATAAATTACAAATTAATCACACCTGAAATCTCCTCCAGAAGAACCACATAAAATCATTCATTTGGGTGTCAAGGGAGGGGAAGAAACAAAAAGAAAATCAACAATTTCAATAAATTATTTTAATTTTTACAACTTTTCACCAAAAACAAATAACTGCACTAAGTTCAGGTGACTCGGGTTTACTTTTTTTTTTTTCTCCTAGTTTCCTATCCAACTGTTTGGCATTCTTTATACTTTTCCCATATCGGCAATCAAAAATGTCATCAATTAAAATGTAGTAAGCGGGTCAAACCTGTACAGATTGTTGATAAAGAAGAAATTTTGAAGGCAAATCATTTGATGGGTACTCATCAGCTTCCTCTTTTCCATCAACCTCTTCTTCTTCTTCTTCTTCTTCTTCTTCTTCGTCTTCTTCTTCTTCCTCTTCTTCAGAAAGTGTGTGCTTCGAAGCGGAGTGACCTTCATAATGACCATCACCAACACCTTCTTCGTCTTCTTCAGTGTAGTGAAAGGCAGCTCTTCTTGGCTGGTGTCTCTGTTTCTTGTCTCGCTTTCCCATCTCTTTCACTTTTCTACCACCGGCGCTCAACAACGCATCTATTATGAAGAGAACCTTAAGTATGAGAGGAACTCACAGCACTTGCTAGACACGTGTACCCGTTCCCATCCTTTCTTTTTTTTAATTGTTTTTTCTCTTTCTTCTCTCGGTTGCTATCATTGATATGTAATATTATGACAATTATTATTGTTTCTCCTTGAAGTTATAACCTAACTTATCCTTAGTAAAACCTAAACTTAATTAGGGTAAGCTAAAAATAAAAAAATAAACTCAATGTATCCCTCATATTGTATTTATATGTCCTCATAATTGTTGACAAAAGATATCTAATTGAAAAAAGAACTAAAACTATAAAGGATTCAATTGAAGAAGGCCTAAACTACATTAACTAATTTGATCACCTTCCCCAAAAAATATATATATATCAAATTATTGGGTCATTATTTTGTTCTATGTTAGCAAAGGTGCAATATCACAAATTAAAATTATAGTATTAATATAAACCAATTAAGATATGTTAGAAAGATAAATTAAGTCACAATATTTTGTTAATTTTTAGAATTTTAACCACTTACTCAAAGGCGGTTTTGACTACTATTTAAACTTTAAGAATTTTAACTACTCAAAGGGTTTTGGGGGGGGTTGTTGTTTTAGTACTACTATTTAAATTCAAGATGAATTCTTCCCTCTCGTGAAACAAAAATAATAAAGGCATTTTACTTATTATTATTATTTTTTTAAATTGAACTTTCATTCATAAGAAAAGGTTACAAACAAGAGGATTTCACTAATAAATCCATTTTAGCATGACATAATATACAAAAGCCCTTAGAGCATCTCTAAGGGAGATGTCAAATACCAAACATCAAATTTAAATTTGATGGCTGATGTGGCAATTTGACATCTTACACAGTTTTACACTCCAACCGATATGTTAAATTATTATTTTATTACATTTCAGTGTTGATTTATTTACTACTTCTTATAATATAATTTTTATATTTTTAATTAAAAAGAAAAGAAAATACTAAAAGACAATCAATTAATTGAAAAAGAAAATACTACAAGACAATCAATTCATTGAAATATAATTCACAATTCACCACCTCGAAGAATTTTCATTCTAAGTTGAGAATAATATAGTTTTTCCTCATCACACATTCCAGATGTATCCATAGACATAATTTTCGTCTCGAACTCCATTTGTTTGAGTTAGATTTTTTTTTCATCTTGCTCAACTTTCTTCTTAATAAGCTCCATTTTCCTTTCATCTCTTTCCTTTTTTTCTTCATGTAATGTTAGAATTTGCACCAAAATAGGAGTGGGCTCATCGCTAGTACTAGTGGTTCATCTTTCTCTTTTCGGCCTTCTTACCTAGTGGTCTTTTTGTGGGAGCATAAGTATCGTTGGTGTTGTCTTCGTCAACATCTATGGGAGTTCTTTGAGTAGAAGATGATGAGAAACTAGTGAAGTTAGATTGGTTTTCATGCTTCTTACTCATTGAATCTTGCGTTTGTAACCACTTTGGTTGGTGCCTCAATAAAATCCAAGCATGATCAAGGTTGAACTTTGCTTTGTACATTGCTTCATATGTAGTCTCCGCATCCACAATCTAAAGGTTAAAAAAACAAAACAAAACTCCACATGAGAATAAATTTAATAATTAAATACACTAATACCATTTAAAATTACCTTATCTTGCTCAGTTTTGCCACTCTGATTTCTCTCATTTATAGTGGCAATACATCCAGAAAATCTATTGACCTCCTTTTGAATTTTTTGCCACTGTTGAGATTGCATTCGGTCAATTCTACTACTTTCGAACCACTTCCATATTCTCTTGTTCCTTTTACAAAGCAACCACTTCCAACATTTCTAGTTCTTCATCAGACTCTGAATCAACAAGATTCCAAAAATGCTCATCTGTCGAATCAGAAGATGAATTGGAAAAATGATGAGACATGTTGGGGTTCTTCAAAATTCACTGTAAAGGAAAAGAATTTTTTTTGGTATAAAAGAAGAACTGTGTTTGAGCACAAGTTCTTTTATATATATATATATATAGCTTTTTGAAGAAAATGAAATGAAAGAGGTGATAAACAAAAATTACATGTACAATAGGCGGAAATGGTTGTGCGTTTAAAAACAATTGTTCAACGGTAGGAAATAAACTGGAAAGAGGAAAAAGGAAAAAAATAAAAAAGGAAAATAATAAATGAAAGTTACAGTTGTCTTTAAAAATAATAAAATATTCATTTGACATATTGCTTTTAGGCTGTCAAAAATAACAGCTGAACCTCCAGCCTTCATTCCACATCAGCTTTGACAATTCGGTTGGAGTGATGTGAGATGTTATTTCTAGCCGTTAAATATCTATGTGGCACTTTTGACATATCGGTTGGAGATGCTCTTATAGAGCCTATTTGGAATGAAAAACCTAAAACTAGCCACTTGTTATTTTCTAATTGGTTCTTATAAAATTTTAACACACTAAGAACCAATTAGAAAATAACAAGTTCCTAATTTTGGGTTTTTCTCTCCAAATAGGCTATGTATGAGTATGCCATGCTAAAATGGGTTTTTGAATAAGTATCTCTACAAACAAAGCCCAACAAGAACAAACCCTAGCGAAAAAAGCAAGAAGAAGCCGCCATGATCAGTGACGGACCTACAGAGGCGCAAGGAGGTACAGCTGCACCTCCCTTCGTCGGATCAAGCGTTGCAAGTGACGGAAAGTTGCCACGTCGCTTAGTCCATTGCGCACTCCACCTGTTCGACAAAAGTCCTCCAACAGTTCCTTTCCTTTGCTGTGCGCACATCTATTTTTTTTATTTTAAAAATTCCTGGCCAAAATGACGTCGTTTTGGACCAAGAAAAATAAAAGAAAAAAGATTCATACTGTAGACGGAAAAGAAGGAGGAAACTCCTTCAATAAGGAGAGTTCACCTTTTTTTTTTATAAAAGAAAGAAAGTTCCTTTTTGAGATATTCTTTCCGTCCCCACCACACCAATCAAAGTCCTTGTAAAAAGATCATCAAATTCATAATTTTTTTTAAATCTCGTCCTTTTTTCCCCCTTTTGTTTTTGTTTTGAGAGAACTCAATCTTTTATAAAACTGATTCATTAATCAAGTCTTGTGCCAATAAAGAAAATAATGTATCAATCAAACTTCCAAAATAACTTCGAATGTATTCATAGTTAATCTAGAAAAAAAAAATTGAAACATGCTACTTTTTTTTCTTCTTCTTCAGGAAACGTCGAACAAGTTTCGTTTTTCTTTTAATAATATGTTTTTATTCATTTATTATTTGACTCTCTCTGTATTCATATGATCATTAGCATACTCGGGGAGGAAGAGGCTGATTTGGCTCTCTCTTTATTTTATCCACTCTTGAAGATATAATGTGATGTTTTCATGATATGAAACCTCGTTGGCAACAATTGTAGGTTAACTGCAATGTTATTTTTTTACTATAAATTACGAATGACATTGGTATTGTTTAAATTATAAGGATATTTGGTTGCCATTTTTAAAAAAGCTTTTAGCCTTTCAAAATTGTACCTTCGTCAAAAAATTCTAGGATCTACCAGTGACCACGATCAACTCTGCAAAAGGTTTTTTTTGTCGAAATTGTGCAATAGTTAGTAGAAAGAAGAAGCAACATGCATCAGCTAGGAGAGGGCCGAAAGAACAAACTCCCAAAACAACACCACATACAAAAGCCCCAAATGGATTAGAACATAACCCTAAAATTGCCAAAACAAGAAAGCAAGAAAAACCCCAAATAACCCACTCCATATTGATACACTTCGCACCAATCGAACCCAAAATCGCACCAAGGAAACTTTAGCCACACATCAAAGGAAACTAAAGGGCAAAAGAAACCCATAACCAACAAGAACCAAACAATTGAAGGAGGTGGTGCGAGCACCCAAGTGGAAACTTTGCACACCTTCCGAGAGAGACGCGAACAAGCACGTTTAAGATGAATAGCTGCGAACATGGATTGAGGTTGGAATGAGGGAGGAAGGAGAAGAGCAGAGTAAGTGAAAATGGAGGAGGTGAGATGAAAGAAAGGGATGAGGAATCGACGGACGAGAACCATGCACTAGAGAACCTATGCAACTTACTACTTTAGGCAGTTTATTTACCAGGAATGAGGGAAATTATGCATTTGAGAATTTTTAAATAGAGGAATTAAGGAATTAGAATTGGATCAACAAGTCTGGTTTTGAGGATATTGGATTATAGATTTTAACGTAGAAGTCACATAATTTAATTAGAGCTAACAACAAAAGATACCTTGCAGGTTTGGGGTGGTTCTCAGTATGGACCCCAGGGTATCAATTTTATCAATTTACACCCTTACGTTTGCAACATCGTCCAATTTCATCCTTCCGTTAAGTTGACCGTGTGGTCAATCTTTAAATGCTGATGTGTCTATTGTGGGACCCACCTACTAACCAACCAATTCCTAAAAAAAATTATATACAATGATAAAATAACATAAATTTTAAAAAAATAAATTTAAAAAATCCCAACCCCTCACCAGGCCAACAAACCCAGCGCCTCATGTTCACCTCATTTCGCCCCGCACCAACCCCAACCCCCATCCCTCTTTCTCTCTCTGGCGTTGGCTC